ATTTTAAACTCGTTGTTTTCATATTTCAATATGAATATAATAACTGTATTATATCGATATCAAATCGATATCGCTACCATCTCTAGCACTCTGCGCGATACAAATGAATATGCATTGCTTTTTTCTATATTTGCAAGCAGATGATCTGCCCTCCTTGAATGTTACTTTGTTGCATTTTGGTGTTTATTTTCTTTCTTTTTTTGTTTGCCTTTGCGCTTGGCAACATTGCAATTTGTTGTGCTTCCCCGCAACCCCCAATTTGCTGTAAGCATCCCTTATGGCACTCCCTGTTTTTCGTTTTTTCCCCTGCTTTTCGTTTTTTTTTTTTTTGACTGTGAAAAGTTCCTTCAACTTCACCTTGTGTTGCATTTGCGTTTCGTCATTGCCATTATAATTGATAGCAATATAATTTTGTACTGTAGCTGCTGCTGTCTCAGTCTACCTCTCTTATCTATATATCCATCTCTGTCGCGCTGTCTTTCTCCTGGATTTTATGTAAATTTTTCGTGCAAATTGCTTTTAATGCATTTTGAATGCAATTTGTGTTTTGTGTATGCTGGAACTGGGGAACACTGTTCTGTAGTACTGGAGTGGAGCACACAAAAACTCGTAATTGAAACTGAAAGATTTTAATTTAATTTGAGTTTCTGTTTCTCTTATCGCCGTCTGACTCTGTTATTGTGTTTGCCTTTTGGAGAGGAGAGGTGAATGCAGCTTTAGTATTCCGGATATTTTGAGCTCCCGAGTTCTCATTTCCACGAGTTTTGTGTATTTTTAGCTCTGGTTTGCCAGCATCATCCAGAAACCCATGCGGGATGTTACTTCCTTCTGCCTGTCTGTCTGCCTTTGGTTTGCCTGCATTTGGCTGGAGTTTTCATTGAATTGATTTAGATAAAATCACCGTGTGTCTGGCTGGGTATATATAAATATTTCTGTTGATTGCGTAACGCCCTGGCGAATGCAACTTCATTATGCCGCCCAAAATGCGGCACCGATTGGCGGGCAGGCTATGGAAAATGAATGGTGTGTCGGGTCGGCTCATCATAGATACATTGAGGTGTTTTGTGGCATGATTGGCGTCGCCTCCTCCCCAAAGATTTGAGGTTGACATCAAACGAGCATGTAAGTGTGGGCCTGGGATCGAGATTTATGGCTTGCACTCCATGAGGCATATAAATCTCAATCTGGTGGTGCAAATTGGGGTGGAACATGGGGCGCCTGCTAAGACTTTAATGAGATTGGGGGGGAGCTTTATTGACTGGCTCGTCAGGTAATTATGAGGTATTGTTATAATTTCGATTTCATTGCTTATATAAAAAACTTCTTCTGAGTTTAGTTTAACCTCCTTAAATATCAAAATTAAATTTATTAAGCTTATAATCTCCCAACCTTCTTTCATAATAAGAAAGTAGAAACACCTCCCTATAGAAAAATAATAAGCAATCGAATTAATCTCGCCCAGTTTTCCTTCTCCAAGTAAAAGTTATTTCCATGAAAATCCTTAGGGAAATGCTGTTAATGAACTTAGTGCCAAGTTTATATCTAGTTAATTTTTGAGCTGACTTACCTAAAAGGAATTATTTGGATTTCACAGGGAAATCAGAAACTTTTACTAGCCCAATCCCAGTGCCCTTTTGAATGATCCTGTGAGTGAGAAAGCCACTTTGAATGGCCAACTGAATAGTGGCCAACAGAGGTTGTCATGACCACGCATACACACACACAGAGAAAGAAGAGGATTTCCCTTTGGCCGTAAACGTCATTTTTTAATCCCACCCATTGAAACCCACATAAGTGGTGAGTGATTTTCGGGGGTGGCGACCTTTTATAACCTTCAAATGAACAGGCAGTTTTGGGGCCATATTCTTTAGCCAAAATAACAATTTAATTATGAACATACTCATGGTCCCTGCTTCTAGCTGCCTGCACGGCCCTCCCAAATTCAAGGACAAATTATAGCCATAAAGCTTGTGTGGCCAGAAGCTCCAGAGCTGCTTTCGGCCTGTGGGATAAGCTAAGAGCTCATTAATGTCACATTCATGGCAACTCCGGAAAGAGCATAAAATGAGCAAAAATTCTATCAGAGTAACCCCCAAACTGGGACCAAAACTCCATTTAAATTGAGTGCACACAACAAATTGTTGGGTGTGTGTGTGTATTAGCCAGCTTGCGGGCCTGTAAGGCAATTAACATGGGACTTCCTCACACCCCAAAGGCTGCAGTAAAATAATCAAAATTAGCCAGAAAAGCCACCAACGTTTTAGGTCTTTTGGGCTGCAATTAATTTTCAGGGAAAATCTTGGCTACTAAACGATTATTTTTATTTAATAGAGAGTTAAATTTAAGCTTTGGTGATAGAAGTATAATTAGATATTATATAGAAACCTGCTCAGATCTTGATAAAGATCTTAATGTTAAAAATATTATTCAATTTTTGTAAGCCTTTCTTTTTATTAGGCCCTCAAAATAGTTTTTGGTATTTATTAACTAAATATTTATCATATTCATCTTTATTTTCCTGTCTGTTTATTAATTTCCTACCTTATATGGAAAAACTTCACTCAATATAATGCCAGTTTTCCTGCTAAAAGCCCTAAGCTGCCTTTTGAAGTCTGGTCATTCTGGTCTCTGTGTTCCTGTGGATGAATTTATGTTTACCCGTCAGTCTAATTAAATTTAATATGCATATTGCCAAGGCATTTGAAGTGGCCAGACACACGGCTTCTAAGTTCAAAGGGGAAAGAGATGGCAAGAGAGAAAGAGAGAGAGAGAGAGAGAGAGAGCGAGGAGGAGACGCATAGCTTGCGGTTGGTCTGCCTGTATATATGGGTAATAAATTTGATTAGTAAGATTTACGGTCCGGGCCAGCGTTCAAATGCTTCTTGGTGCAGTAAATTTTATGCTAAGCAGCAGTGGAAAAAGGTTGAAAAAGGCTCGGCTTGGCCAAAAGAAGGGTTGTGATGTGGTTTTCCACAGAGTTTTCTTTGCTTTTGTTTGTTTTGTTTTGCTTTTTTAGTGTTTTGTCTTTAACGTTGAACGAGTTGTTACAATAAAATGTTTATAGCATACTCTGCGGGTTGGCCTTCTTTCCATAAATATTATATAAATATATATATATGTGTATATATACTTTACATTATGCTGAGCCAGCCAGACAAAAGGCAGTCCAAAGGGATACAAAACATTTTGATCCATATGCAAAAATACAGAACTCCCTTTGAGTTGTGCAAAGGTGGTTCCCTTTTTGCCAGTTTCCACTGGCTGCCAAAAAGTATGCAACACATCAGCGAACCCATCATTAACATCATTATCGGGGCCCTGGAGTTCCAAAGAAACCAGAAGAAAAATCACCAAAAATGATGCCAAGGCCCAGGGGCCGAGATTATGCGATAAAGCACACCAACACACACACACACACAAATACACCACTGGTAGTGAAGTTGAGATGGCCAAGCTATGTATATCCTCCGATCCTCCGCCTACCCTTTCTACGGCCTTGTGCCTTTCTGCGGCTTTCAGCCGCACAGCATGCTGCCATTTTGCTGGCTGTCGAAAACTCAAAATGAAATGCAGTCAACGCCCTAACTTCTGACACTCCCACAACCGCACATTGCACTGTTAAAAAAAAAATTGGGTTATAAATTATTAATTATGATTTTATTTCCCGACAGAAAGTTAAGAAAGAGTTTCAAGCAAGTAGTTTTTTTTATAAAATGAAGTATTTATGGAAATTCCACATATCGTTATGATAATTAAGCAGAAAATAGAATATTTTTTTATCAGTGCATGTCGGCTCTTCAGTTAAATTATGCGCATTGGGCTTCTTTGGGTACTGAAATTATTTCGCTCTCTAGCTCATGTTGGCTGATGATGTGATTCCCCCCCCCTTCATCAGGCTTCCTTTGTGACTCTGTTTGTGGCAAAAGTGAAAAGAAATTTCTGTTTGCTTGCCAAAAGACCGAAAAAGAAAGGAGCCGCCAAAAAATGCATTTTGATTATTGGCGCTGCTGGGACATAAATCTGCATTCACAATTGCCGAGTGAATCAATTCAAGAGAGTGCAGCGGAATTCGAATATTTGAAGTTGAAATAAAAAAGAAATTTTAACATGTGATTAATGTTAAATTTTTCCTTTTTCATTACAGGTAAGCATAAAGGACTTTTGAAGGACTTGTTTTCTTGTTAGAGATTATGAAAATATCTCAAATATTTGTGAGTAAAAAGAAATTCTGATCTGAAACTGAAAATCTTACTTAATTTACCAATTTTAAAATCCATAACCAAGTCATCAAGCCAACTTGCCACAGCTAATACCCTTACCTTTCTTAATTTTCTTCATTTTCATCAACGAAAAATGAATAAAAATCGCATTTATTAAGACTTAAAAAACGACTTATTTCTCGACTTCATGAAATTACAGTTTTTCCGACTGCGATGAAATTAAAACCAATAACATTAACGCGTACGTAGAGTTTTTAATGGGAAAATCATATTCATTATTAACAATTTTCGGGGGCGTTGCAAAGTAAAGGAAAACTTTAATAAACGGCCATATTTTCAGATCTGTGAAAATGCTAATAAATCAATGCAAATACCAGAAGAGGCAAAAAGGGAAAATGGTAATGATAAAGCAGAAGGCAGGGGGTCTGTCAGTGGCGCATTAACATAACAGTTATGTGCATATTAACTGTACATTATGTTCCTTAATCCAGACAATAAAGCAACCAACAATGCGGCAAACAGCAAATGAATGAAATTATGCAACAATTTTACAACAAATCAATGAACTGCAATTCGCAGAGCCCGCATATTTCCAGCAAACATTTTGGCCTCGTATAGAATTCGTATATGAATATAAGCAATAATGGCCAAAACGAGCTTTTAGGGGTGGTGGCAGGCGGGTTATTAATGAAATGAAATGTTAATGCCCTGCCGCCAAACGACAGATGCTCGATTGAGTGTATAATCGTATGCGGAATTAGGTCAGAGATTAAATCGAAATTTGTATTACAATAATCATAGAGATTAGCGTGGGAATTTTATTTCAAGTTATAGTCTCATTTAAAATTGATAAGAAATTATTTATTGCTTGGTAATTTAGTATCCATATAAGTAGCCGAAGTTGTGTGATTTATAAGCTTTTCCTTATCATTTTCCGCCATGAACATTGCAGACACGGCAGTCTCCATTAATGATGACATTGCCAGGGTTCAGAGGAGTGGCTAAATAAGGCATTAAATTAGTTAAGAAATTGTTAAGAAAACAGCTAATAAAGTTAATACTTACCACTGGTCAGAGCCAGGAGACCGAGCAGGAAGGCAACCGAGAGGAATTTCATCTTTAAGCTTGCTAGAACAGAAGTGCGAACTGAACTGATGACTTTACCGCTGACAACGATCTGCTTATATAGTCTCATAATCTCTCTCTGTCTGTTATCAATGTGTTTTTGTTTTTGCTTGGGATCGGGGCAAAACCGCATTATTGACTTAACGTGCGGTATTGCCCTACGAGGTGTATGTGAAATTCCCATCTAAAGTCTTCGAAGATTTCAGGTTCAATTAGCTGCATTTAATTGCACGTGAACTCAACTGTGTATATGGCCCACAGCCGCCTCTTCTGAAGAAATGTAGAACTCGTTTGCTAATCGCGTTTGATTGACAAGCTTGCCAAGCTATATCGGATATAGTATAGTTATCGCGTTTGGCTATAAAAAGATACGTCACGGCTCGTGTTGATCGTCGCCCGTGGAACTGGTTCTATTACGATGGTTCTTTGACTTCAATTTGATTTGCATTTATCAAACGGAATGGATTATTCCAAGGAAAATCATTTTTTATGAGAAGTAATTAAGTAGACAACACTTGGAGGAAGATTTTGTTGATTTTTTAACATTTTTTTGGTTTTGCAAGTTTTTAAGCTGGAAAATTTGAAGAAAAAATACTTAAAAGAGGCAAAAAAGGAATTTTTCAAGTTTGTTATTTATGCCATTTAATTTTAAAAATTATTTTTATAAATATTTTGTGGAATTGAAAATTCAAATTAAATAGATAACATTAATAGGAACATTTTTAAAAATTCTTTTAAGATTATTTGTTTAAAAAATAAACATTTTTTTTATGATTTTTTAGGCACATCAAAGCTGAAACTATGTAAAATTTCACGTCAGCTAAATACTTAATTTTTAAACACTAAAAACAAGCTTTTTTTTTTTTTTTTTGCATAATTTATTTCATTTAAGATTAAAAGTAGTTAGTTATTAGTCACACTTGTTATTGTTTTAAGCTTTGTTTACATTTGGGCAACAACTTTGAAGTATTTTTAATGCTTAAAGCTTTCAGCGCTATATGTTGGACCCGTTCTCGTTGATTTTAAACCCTTGAAATCTTGTGAAAATATAGGACTGAAAAAAAAGAAAAATAAATAAATTTATATTAGTTTTTTCAAAGAAGGAGAGTTGATATTTAATAGTTAGTGAAAGTTTCAAGAGGAGAAGTAGAAAACCACAAGCTGAGAAGCTCTACAAGTCTCGATTTCATATTTTCAAAGTTAAAAACTTTTAGTAAGACCTTCAGAAAATACTTTTCACTATATTAAACATCACAAAAATCTACATAATTTGTAGAAAATAATTTATAATATTCACCATTCATCTTCAGCTGCCGCAGCAGAAGCCAAAATAAAAAGCAGAGCCAATTTAAAAAGATTTAAATTGAGGACTTTCATGGTGAATGTTTTTTAAGTAATGAACAATGTTGAACTGAGCTCGGCACAAAGTGGATATGTAATATATATATAGCATGATTCCATATGAACAAATTGTTGCCACATAAATCCTCTGGAGACTAATCATTTCATATACGTTTTTTTTTATCAACTCAGGACAGAAATAAATGCGAAGAATTCTACAGAACAGCATGAGTTCTTATTCTCATTTCACTTAGAGAAAAGCAGTACAAGATTGTGCGTCATACCATAAATAACTTATCGTATATTTCTAAGGCCCCTGAAGGGCATTAAGAATGCCTAATAATAACATAAATTACGGGAAATCCCCTTTTCCTAGGCCGCAATGGGGAATCAAGAGTCAAGTTTGTAGTTTTCAATTTAAAAGATTATTCATTTTGATTACTAAGAATTCGGATCAAAATTTCTTTAATATATATTTTTATTTACTACAACTTCTGTTTCAGCTTTATTTTTCTGAATATCTCTTTATATATTTCAATGAACAGAATTCCTGACAATCAATCCCAAGAAAAGCAAAAAGAAAAGAGTCAATCAAAAGACTCCTGCAATTTGTTGGCCCAAAAAGCAAGTAAAATGAACTCAAATTGCATTACCAACTTCGAAATAAACAAAAGAAGAAACCCCATTATAATAGGTTTAAAAAAAAAAGAAAGTCAAAATTCACAAAAAAAAAAATAAATATATTATTTATTTTTTTTTTTTTTTTTTTTAAAATTAAAAAACTACCTAAAAAAATTAAAAAAAAAAAATTAAAAAAATTATTTTTTTTGGTTGGTAAAAAAAAAAAAAATAAAAAAGTATTTTAAAAATAGAAAAAAATTAAAAAAAAAAAAAAAAAATTAAATAAATAAAAAAAAAAAAAAAAAAAAAAAAAAAAAAAAAATCACTTGGACCAGACTTTCACTGGAAATCGAAAACTTGAAAAATTTGAAATTGGAAGCACTTTTTGCTCTCCTTTTATACACCTATTTTGAAATTTGTTTAGTTTTTTTTTTATAGTTTATATATTTTTTGTTATTATATCTACTTTTTGGCAGGAAAAGTTGAGAGAGAGAGAAGCGCAAGCTCAGCAGAAATTTTAATGCACTTTTAACGAGTATTCTTGTTCTCCTTTCTTCTTTATGCTTTTTCTCTCTTTTAAATGCTAAATTTATTGATTTTAATTTTTGTATTTTAGTTTATTGCTGCTTTTTAAACTTTAAAGAGTTTCTTTAAAAGACACCTCAAGAATCGGAGAATAATTTTTAAGTTACTCAAACTTTAAATTAATTAAAAATTAACATAACTAAAGCATTTATTAAACAGAAGTTGGCAAAATGAAAAGTTTAACAATATATAAGATTTTTAATAACAAATTGTTCTTCAGTTTTAGTAAGAATTTAAACCTTTTAACTAGTTTTTAAGTTTAGTTACAGGATTTAAAAGGTACTGCTGATTTTGAAGCCTACTTTTAGGCACTTGTTAAATCCCACAAAACCTATATCTCTTAACTAATTAAACCAGTTTAAAGGGCAATTTAAATCAGTTCTTGCCAAAAGCAATAAAGACGTCTTCTTTGTTTGTCACTGCCAAAGTCCATTAGCTTAAGTCTATTAAATTAGAATGGGCTTGACTTTAATGTCTCAATGCAAAAATGCAACCAAAAATGATAAATGCTCTCATCAAATTGATAAAGCAATCTAAGAATATATATACTCTCCCATATATATATATATATATATATATATATATGGAGAAAATGCTGTTAGAGCTGTTTAATCAAATTACGAACCGGACAGCCCCAGACAATAAAGTTAATTAATTTACTGTGCATGGGAGTTGGACGACTTGGTTGTCGTTCTTGGTTCTGGCAAGCGCTTTGACAGATGCATTGGATGAGGTCCTGTCACAGGACTTCATGAGGAGGGGGCGGAGGTGAAGCTGAAGTTCTGCCAGTAAATTAAATTTAATGGAAAATGTTCGAAGGCACACGAGAGAGAGAGAGAGGCAGTTAATAATTTTCATGGAGATTGCTTAAATATCTGCTTGGCAAGGACCGCTTAAGGACATACCAAGTATGCAAATCACGAACCAGAATTCGATTATAAAATATTAATCTATTAATTTATATTCCACCCACTAACAGTCACCCACTGCCAATGACATTCATAAATCAAAGCGAAACCTGTTAATGTTCAATTGTGATAAGACAGAAGGTCTTCTCAAACATTGACTTGGCACTTTCCAGTATATAAACCATTTTCATGCCGCAATTTATGCTAATTTAGTTATAACCTTTCTTGAACCCATAACCCATACATACATACAATCCATTAGTGGGTTACTAACGGTACCCGAACGCCATTTTCTGTGTAACAACTGCAAATCAATGCCCTGACATGTGAAAAATGGCTGGCAAAACCGGGGAATCCATTGTTGTATGTGTCTATTATAATATTGCCATATTATTTTATGCATGCAACTGTGTCCTGTCCATGGGGCACTTATACACACACCCTTACACTCACACACACTTTGTGATTGCGTCTGCATTTTCGTAATCAAGCTCATGATAAATCGTTTGCGCAAAATTTATTGAGTTTTTGCATGACACCCAGTAAAGCGACAGCAGCTGCAACATGGGGCACAAACGAAACCTATAACGAGAGTGGAGTGCTATCTACATTTCAGTTTTGGGCCTTATCTCTCTATAACTTTCAGTATAGAGTTTAAACTTAAGATAATAATTTATGTTTAAAGACCTGCAAAGAGAAAAACCCAAATCAGCATTTGCAATTGCTTCAAAGTTAAAGTTCATTTTAAAATATATGCAAATCTAAGCCATTTTTGCCTCTTACCAATTTACCAAGAACAAAAGATAAAAATCAATTTTCATGTTCTATTCATTTGAATGTAAATTGCAGAATTGAATTTTCTTTACGCCTCCTCCCCCCCCGCTCTCCTACACACATGTGTTTGTGCAAATTATTTTGTACTATTTTTGGGGAAATTTCTCGAGTTGCATGCAACGAATCGAATGGTGGCCATCCTTATCGTGTTTGTCCAGCTGCTGCTAGCAATTGCTTTCAACAAAAATGAGCCGAAAATGTCGATGTGAAACTATATATATATATATATATATAAATTCCATTGAAGGCCAAGAAAATTTGAAAAGAAATATCCTTTCAGCTGGCATTTACATATTTTATTCAGCTTCCTAGAAAAATGATTGATGACCCAAACGATTGCATTTTATTCCATAAATGAGTTTTCCACAAATAGGCAATCAGATATTTTGCTTAAGTGTTTGTCATATTTTAAATAAAACTGCATAACTTAACACTTTTACTGATTGAAAAGTTGGTTTTAGGTTGTAAATTTATCGTTAAGCTATGAAATATTTGTGTGAAAACTTAAAGAAATCTTTTTATAAGATTTTTGAACGTAATAAAACCGTTTTTGGTTTTGTTTTTGTAATCCAAATTCATTATTTAACCCATTTTAGCAACTTTAAATCACCAAAGGGTTGAACTCATAACATTTATTCATGTGTTTTGTAGAAAGAAAGCTTAACCAGACCTTTTCGATTGATAACTTAAGTAAACTCAATATGGAAAATGTTGAAAAGTGTTTAAAAGCCTGCAGTAAAATGCAACATTTTCAATCATAAGTTACCCCAAAAGA